AAACAGCGAATATGGTACTAATGTATGGATAATGCAAATATGCTATTAATGTATGATGTGAAAGTCATATGCTTTATGTGTGGTCCTATTTAAATATTCGAACATGGTGCTGAATAAAAGGTGAGTAAACCAGTGCATTATTCACATTGCCATAAATATAATTTGTCCTTTAAGACATTTAAGGCATTTATAATTGACTACAAAGACTTTTTCATACAACATTCTTCAATGGAAGACTTAATATCCTTTTACCAAAGATTATAGCCATCACAAACTCAAAGTTACTTGTTAGGTTATTCACATTGTTTTTATGATAACGTACATGTTACGTTATTACCTATTTTCTACCTCCTTTCCGTATGCCTTCATGGTGTAAATGAAAGCGTTCTGGACGCGTATTCTAGAGATCCAGAGTTCGACTTCCCAGCATGAAAAAATCCTAATGACTCTACACTAGCGCCCGAACTAAAACATAATGGACCTTCTAGTTTGTCATCACCGGGATCTGGCCATTGGATCCCATAATCCTCAGTTGCCTTTTAAAAGGGGGAGTATATAAGGTATTTTCTTCCTCCTTTCCACATTACACCGTGGTGTAATTACTAAGCGTATTCAAGAGGTCCAGGGCTCGAGTCCCGGAGAGGGAATTACACACTTTTTCACGTCTCCAGCATAAAAACAAAGAGCATAATGACTCTATAACTTTAACATAAAACAATGTAAAAGAAAGTAAATGTAAAGTAAATATTACTTGCTAATTGAGTTACGAAGTAATTTGGTTATAAAATGGTTTCGTTATAAAATTAAACCGTTGAACAGATAAAAGTAGTGAAGCATACTTTCTAAATACATAATAACGTTTGAGGAAAAATTCAAATGATAATTGACGAAAACAAAAACTATTCTGTATGTTTTTCAAATAACAAGTTAAAGTGACATTTGCTAATAAACTCTACAATATTATAATTGGTGAAATTCAAAAATAAAGATTATATACCTTTGAAATTTACTTATTTACAAACGCAACATTTTATAAGAAAAGGGTATTAAATAACTAGGCACTAGGCATACAAAAAGTACAAAGTCCGGAACAAACATTTAAAAATAGGTATGGTTTCTCTGTACATAAACATAAAATTACCAACCTATGCCCCTTCACATTCAATAATTTATCTTTATACCATACTTTTAGCATCTCAAATTATTTTAAGTTTCTGAACTATTTTAACCTCTATTCTTTGAAACATATTATTTGCTCAGATTCGCTACCAAACACATAAAGAATATAATACAACAATTTGAAGTAGGAAGTCTTTTTTAATTTCATTTTAAAGCATATTCTTTAATCAGATAAAATTGTGAAGTAGTATAAGCATAATGAACACAAATGTTCTTTCTCCGACCGAGCAAACACCAAACATTCCATATCCGTTCAATATAATTTACAAAATCCATTTATATAAGGCTAAAACGCTAAAGAATATAGTTCCCAGACATAACTAAATGCTTGAAAAAATAAATGGATAAGAAATACGTTAAGTTTCTTTAGTTAAATATGGCAAAGCGCAAGCGGATGAATGCTTTCATGGTGGTCTTTAAAGGTAACTACCTCGTCTTACTGTGTATATTGAAGAAAACCATCAAAATAACCAAAATTATAAGCAGATAAATTTAGTTATTTAATACTTGAAATGCTACTGCCTATGAACTTCACACAATGCAACAATTATGGAACAGTGAAGATACTTCCATCTGCAGTAAAGAATAGTATATCGGTCTTGTAGACCGAAGATCATGAGTTTGAGTCTGTGCAAGAACAGGGTTTAATTTCCCTATGTTACCTTGTTCCGGATTTATTTTCTTCTGTTAACTCTATGTTTAAATTCCTCTTCGTATTTCTTTCATATTAAATACTGGCATGGTATTTATTGCCGAATTCATAAATTTTTATACGTAGCTTAGACAAATATATTCTTGTAAACATTTGCCTTAGATATTTTTTTCCCAATGGCAGATTGTGAACAATTACAAATGTAACCTAGTCCATTATGTATATAAAGCCGGATGTGGTGGTTTCTTTATGATGGAGGCACCTAATAGGTGGGCCACCATCGCCTTTCCTATGAAAGGACGGACTGTTAAAACCATGCCTTCTCCGGGATTCGAACCCAGGCCCTTCGGCATTGCAGTCAGCTTTTCTGACCACTATACCGACTGGCCGCCTTAGATATTAATACAGATATATGTAAGGCAATCCTATCTAAGGCAAATATTCTCGTAAACATTTGCCTTGCCGCCTGCGTTAACATTTAGTAGTTGTAAGTGATAAAAATATTAAAATCATTCATACTTGTGAGATATAATTTAAAATCTGCGTCAATTCAAACTACATGTTTCCAATTACTTTTAAGGAAAACAACTCCATCCATTATTTATGCTTATCAGAAGAGACGAAGAACTTTCCCCACCATGTTACTGAAACTATGCCATTGCGGGACGAGTAATAGCACTTCGAGCTCAAAATAAAAGAGAAGAAATCGGAATCCCTAATGCATATAACATTTTGGCAACCCGACTCCAATGCATAAATCAAGATTTGCCATTTTGGCACAGTTTCCCCTGAAGCTTCGTCTCTTTTCGCTAACCGTGCCTTTATTTCTGCTCTTGGTGCTTGCAGTCGATTTACTCGGCACCGCATAAAATCACAAAAGAAAACCGCTGACTGGGGAGAACTTGCCTCACTGACTTCCCCCAACCTCCCACTAAACCATTCGTCACCGGAAAGAATTATTCAACGAGAACCCAATAATCCCCAGCGATATTTCAACCTTTCTGACGATGAGTCCTCCTTTCTCCCCAGAAATCCCATAAAAGACAATGGATCTCAGGAGACACCTTCAAATATGTGAAGTACAGTGGGTCGGCCGAGTGGGCCGAAATCATTGAATAGCACCCAACAGACCGGGTACTTATGAGATCTATAATTGGTTGGGAACACCAAACCTCTTATTTCTTTTGACGAACTTTCGCTGTTTTTAGGAAGAATGCTTTCTCTGGGATTTATTCTCGGGAAGACGTAAATCCTGGTGTCTCCATCCCCTCGGGTATTTCTGACAATGAGCTTTAATGGTGAGGTACGAATCGGAAATAGAGAATAGACAGATAGGAATAGCATTTGATTAAATGTTTTTCTTTTAAGAAGGAATTAAGGAAACGTATTGAGTTTGTGTAAAGAAAATTAAATTCGCCAAATGGCAAAGCATGCAAGTTCTCGAATTTTATTATTAAATGTATTATTTTCGTAGATAAGCGTTTCAAAAGATGAACGAATTCTTTACTGAATGTGAGTGTGTGGGTACAGTTGTATACACAGTCTACCGCTACTCCATTAAATTATGCTAGTTCTTATTATACTAGCGGATTTTACTAGTTCTAATGATAATGTGTAGACTGAAATCTAAACAGTCTCTGTATAAAAGTAGACAGGTAACAGATTGGTTATCAGATAGATATAAATGGGAATTTTTTATGGACACAGATATAGATAAAAAGGAAGTCAAATAGACTTGGATATTTCATTAAAAAGACAGAATGAAATAAGCAAACAGTTTGGCTAAAATATTAGAAAAATACACAGAATGATGTCAGATAAATGAAACAATGAATGAAGAAGTTTATACACACGGTAACTAGAAGTTTTAGTACAGGATATTTGAAACAGTATTGCGTAGATATTTCGGGGAAACAAATTACGTCCAATTATAATAATGATATAAAAATTTTAAAAAAGTGAAACTGAAAAACAAAATCTGAAATGAGAGCTTTCAGATTTTATATTACTCCCAAAGGAAGTTCTTTTTTTTTTTTTTTTTTTTTTTTTTTTTTTTTCATTTACATAGGCATACACATTTCGAGAACATTTGGGTTAATGTTTCTTTGGTCTAAAAACATTTAAAAACAGCTCATCTTTAGAATTTCCGATAGACAGTCTCGCGCACTGGAGATAAAAATTGTTTTTTTTTTCATACAGTGTTGCCATTGCTCGCTTTGAAATTATAAAGTTTGTTAATCAAAAATTAGTTAAAGTTTCACAAAATTTGAAATACACAATAAAATATTTAAAAACAGCATATCTTTAGAATTTCTGATAGACAGTCTCGCGGGCTAGAGATAAAATTGTTTTTTCCTCTGCAATGTTGGCATTGATTGCTTTTAAATCATTGAGGTTGTTAATCAGAAATTCGTTACGGTTTTGCAAAATATGAAAAAGACGATAAAATCAATTCCAAATTCGTGTTTCCAGGTGCCCATATTCGTAAGGAGAACTACAGTCTTCAGAATTTGAAGGCTCTAGGTACCGTTGTTTTTTCACAATGCGAGAAACATGTAAACATTCTTATTTAATTTCTTTAAATATAATACATGGAGGAAATATTTGGTGGCAACATTTGAAAAACATTCAGACTTTTATAGTGATTCAACCCAAAGTCCCGTTTTGAGACTAATCGCCCTTGTGAACTAACGCTCGTTTGGGCTAATAATTAGTTAAAAACGTTTAAAACTGTTACAGTCCATGATCATAAAAAATAAACAACTATATAATTATCATAAAACTGTCGAAGAATTTTTTTAATTCATGAGTACAGAGCATCTGTAAATATTAACGAAGATTTGAGTAACGACATTTATACCAGTCGGCATAACTTTTGATTGGAACATGATATTTCATGCGAATTTTTTCGTAAACCTTTCAGTAGAGTTTATTTACAGTATATTTCTTTTTAACCTTTCCTTTTCTGGTAAAACTCCAATGAGTTCACTGCCTCCATGTTAATTGAAAAATACATGAAATTGCAAAAGTTACCGTTTGAACTCAATAAACGCAAGAAATATTGGACATGCATACTTATAAACAAGTTTACTCATGAGTTTATATATGCTAAATAGGAAGAGAGATTGATAGAAAAGGAAAAGGTAGAAAATCTTATTGTAAATAATACCTTGAAAGCGATTTCAACTCCTGTATTTTTCTTTGTTGTGATATTTCGCTCAGTTTCAGTATAGAATATCAATAAAAGCTTTAATGCTCATGAATCTAGGCAGTTAAGTAAGTCGTATTTACAGTTTTTCTCATGCCTGCTTTAAGCAACAGTTTACAAGTAGACATCAGTTTCTTGACATCACCTACAAATAAAAGAAAACAGTAATTATTATAAAAGCCGATTTGTTATCCATTTACAGTAACAAAGGTTTAAAAATAATAAAAATACCAATTATGTTTCACTACTTTAATATTCGTTCTGCTTTTATTTCAGTTTTTATTGTATAATCAATTTTTTAGATGATTTTTCATTTTTAGTCCAAAAATGCTTTGTCCCTGAAGGACTATTGTTTTCGTTTTGCAATTTTACGTTGGTTAACTATAAATTTCCGTTTCACTTTTCAAACTGTTGCCACCAAACGTTATAGTCCTACATTATATTTGAAGAAATTAAATAATGAAAAATCTGCATAAATATATGTATATTTCTCTCATTGTGATTCAACAACGTACATAAAGCCATCGAATTTGAATAACGTAATCCTCCTACGAATATGAGCATGTGGAAAGCCCCAAATTTGAAATTTGAATTTGTTTATGATCGATTTCCTATTTTAAACCTTTGACGAATTTTTGATTACAAACTCAAGGATTCCAAAGCGAGCAATGGCAACGTTGTCCCCAAAAAACATTTTATCTCCAGCGCGCGAGTCTCTGTATCGGAAATTCTAAAGGATATGCTCGTTTTAAAACTATTTTGCGATTGCTGTTGCACTGGATCTTATGGTTTAAGTGCGAGGAACATGATATTTAATAAAGAAAAGGTAACACACAAAATGTTAAAAAACGCCCCTTTGGATGTAATTTAAAATCTGAAACATTTCAGATTTTTTTTTTTTTTTTTTTAGTAAATCAATTTTTAGACTTTTCATTTTTAGCAAAAGTGCTTTGTCCCGAAGGACTATTGTTTTCGTTTTGGCAATTTACGTTGGTAACTTAAATTCCGTTCACTTTTCAAACTGTTGCCATAAAACGTTAGAGTCCTGCATTATATTTGAAGAAATTAAATAATGAAAAAAATCTGCAAATGTATGTATATTTCTCTCAGCTTGTGATAAAACAACGGTACATAGAGTTGAATTTTGAATGAATAATCCTCCAACGAATATGAGCATGTGGAAGACCAAATTTGAAATTTGAAATTTGTTATTATCGTTTCCATATTTGTAAAACTTTGACGAATTTTGATTAACAAACTCAAGGATTCCAAGCGAGCAATGGCAACAACGTTGTGCAGAAAAAAATTATCACCAGCGCGTGAGTCTCTGTATCGGAATTCTAAAGGATATGCTCGTTTAAAAAACTATTTGCGATATTGCTGTTGAATTGAAATCTTATGGTTTAAGTGCGAAGATCGTGATATTTAATAATAAATGTGTAACACACAAATGTTACAAAAAAACGCCCGTTTACCGTATTAAAAATCTGAAACCTTTCAGTTGATTATTTAAGTTTAAGAATTTGCTTCATAAGTTTGATTGAATTCTGCCTACCTATGAAAACGCTTTAGGAAAATTTATCTACGAACACAGGAACGTTCCAATAGATAGAGTTTGATTTAAAATCACCGCCATGTTCTTTTTTTTTTTTTTGACTGTATTAAAAAAGAAAATTTTAGTTTAAAATTTTAATTGCCCGAAGGACTATAAATTTGGCATTTTGCGTGGTTCAAATTCGGTTCACTTTTCAAATTGTTGCATAAAATTAGAGTCCTGCATTATATTTAAAGAAATTAAATAATGAAGAATCTGCATGAATGTATGCATGTTTCTCGCACTGTGAAAAAAAAATTTACTTAGAGACATCAAATTTTGAATAACGTGACCCTTGACTAGACTTGAGCCCAAATTTGGAAATTGGAAATTGTTTTATTATCCATTTCATATTTTGTAAAAAACTTAACGAATTTTTGATTAACAAACTCAATGATTTCCAAGCGAGCAACGAAAACATTGTACGAATTTTTTTCTCCAGCGCGCGAGACTGCGCAAGAGTGCGAAAATTCTAAAGATACGCTCTTTTTAAATTATTTTGCGATATTGCCGTTGAACTGAATTTTATGGTTCAAGTGCAAAGAATATGCTACTTAAGTAATATGTGTAGCACAGAAGACTTTAAAAAACGTTCCTTTGGGCGCAATATAAAATCTGAAAGCTTTCAGACTTTCTTTTCCTTTTGTAGTCCAAAGGGATTTGAATCCCGAAGGACTATTAGTTTCGTTTTGGCATTTTGCGTCGGACCATAAATGTCGGTTCACTTTTCAAACTGTTGCCATAAAATGTTAGAGTCCTGCATTATATTTGAAGAAATTAAATAATGAAAAATCTGCGTAAATGTATGTATATTTCTCGTATTGTGATAAAAAAAACGGTACATAGAGTCATCGAATTTTGAATAACGTAATCCTCCAACGAATATGAGCATGTGGAAGACCAAATTTGAAATTTGAAATTTGTTTTATGATCGATTTCCTATTTTTTAAAACTTTGACGAATTTTTGATTAACAAACTCAAGGATTTCAAAGCGAGCAATGGCAACGTTGTGCAGAAAAAAACATTTTTATCTCCAGCGCGTGAGTCTCTGTATCGGAAATTCTAAAGATATGCTCGTTTTAAAACTATTTTGCGATATTGCTGTTGCACTGGATCTTATGGTTTAAGTGCGAGGAACATGATATTTAATAAAGAAAGGTAACACACAAAATGTTAAAAAACGCCCCTTTGGACGTAATTTAAAATCTGAAACATTTCAGATTTTTTTTTAATAATTAAATTTGTTCAGATTTTGCTATTAAATATTTAATGATAAGTCCTTCTAAATCCACTTGAAATGTGAAACCATCATAGAGATTCAGAATTGTTTTGATGTGCGGAAATGCACAGAGTGATTGGTATTGATAAAACGCCTTCCAATCAAAAATTCAGGCGAGGAGAATTATATCCGTCTTTCTCTCCGAATAAAACGAATCTATAATTTTATTCCACTTATTTCGATTCCTCTAATTCCGATGGAATAAATAAATCGACCCGAAACCAGATCGTTGCTATAACAACAATGACGCACGAGGAAAACCACATTGAGTTCCTTGCCATTCGATCATAATAGTGTTTCTATCTCTTATAGAAGACACTTGGGGACTCGTGCAAAAAAATTTTCTTGACCAGATACTACAGGCATCTTCGGATCCACCTCTTTAACGAGCTTCTTGTAAGAAAGAACCAAGACTCGTTATAGCTATGAGGTACTTATTGGAAGTCCCTCCAATTCCGCTTTTTCGCAGGTTTTATATTCGAGTATAGATTTCGGATACAATTCCTTAGCTGTTTGTTATTTTTGGCTTCCTTTACGAAGAAATTTCTCAATCGGAAACTTTCTTTTGTATGGAATGGAATTCCAGCTTGTTTTTCAATTACGAATTTTATTGTTTCTCGAAATTCGATTCGACTATAGAGAGATGCGCTATGGGCCTTCGGGGGGTCTTGAAATCTTCAGAGATGGTTATCTTCTAAGATGGTAACGAGTTCCACTTTTAGTGTTCCGTAGATGTAAAACGAAAATTGCGGCGCATTTGTTCTCATGGGAGATGAAGGGGAAAAATAAAATTGAAATTCGATACGCTGCATTCCGAGTTCATAAGCTAACACTTACAGCTTCCGTTTTTGTGTTTGATTCTATTGGTAATCTAAACCATTGTTTTTTACTGTAATAACTAACTTAGTTTGAAAGTGTATTGAACAATGTTTCACGGCAATTTCATTCCTTAATCTAGTTCCTATTACTCTTATTTATTAGTTTTAAAGCTTACAAGAATCTCAAATTCTTGCTTAATACTAAATCTTGGTACACTTATTTAATTGTTTCAAAGCCTTCAAAAATCTCAAATTCTCCCTTAGTACGTAGTACTAGCTCTTAGTTCGTAGTAATTAACAATACTTACAACTTAGTGATTCTTACTACTTAATTTTTAGTGCATTAGCATTCTTAATACTATTTCTTAATAATAATAATGGATGACTAAACTACTTAACTAATTAATGTTCCTTCAATCAACATGGTCCATTTCATGAAAATTTTTATTAGGTTATATTCATTACATTACAGGTTTTATTACATTTCTTTGTAGAGTCATTAGATTATTTAGATGCTGCAGACATGAAAAATGAGAAATGCTCTCGCCGGCACTCGAACCTGGGCCTCTTGGATACGCTCCAAGTGTGCTAGTGTTACACCACAAAGGCAAGTAGAAAAGAGGGAGAAAATACCTTATAAACTTATCGCTTTTCACCTTCAAATATGCCACTAGCTCCATAAGTTAGAGACGTTTACACATGATCCACGGATTGTCATGAATGATTTTAATTAAAATTGTTAAAATCAATAATACTTTTTTGTTCTATTTTTTTGTTCGTTTCATGGAAGGAAGAAACAGGAACTTCATGCATTTAATTGTATCTGCAACATACAGTGAAAGAAAAATTGGAATGTAATGTAGTCAGTCCGATGATCTCAGAAATCATATAGACCAACAAAATAAAAACAAGGTCATTCTTCTTCGTCTCTTGCGGAATGTATCTAATTATATCTATAATATGCCCCAAATTTTAATAGTGCATTCATTCTATTTGAACCTATATAGTTGTGAGTACTCTGAGATCACTCTCTTCAATAAATCTAAGTTTTAAAAAATGTTTTAAAATATCTTTCATAGAATAAGGAACTGAGAACGTACAATCTTTCCGTCTAAGGGTTCAGACAGCAAGGAAACTTCAGCAAATATCACAATCTGCATATCCTTAGAGCCTTCAGCAAAAAAATGCCTTCACACTTACATTTTGACAGTTACATAAAATACTTTACATACGCATTTTGAACTCAAAGAATATGATAAAGGAAAAAAAAACATTTCATGTTGTTTTTTCTATATTCTTTTTCAAGGAAAAAAAGGCAGAGAGCCTAAACATCAAGTGGCCCATATTCGCATCCATTTGTATTTTATGCGATTTAAATTCTACTACAATGCTTATGTTTTTCCGATCCAGGCCATTTCCAGACATCTTTGGAGGTCTTCCAACTATCGA